TGAGGTACAGAGACTGGTAGAATGGTGAGGTACAGAGACTGGTAGAATGGTGAGGTACAGAGACTGGTAGAATGGTGAGGTACAGAGACTGGTAGAATGGTGAGGTACAGAGACTGTAGAATGGTGAGGTACAGAGACTGGTAGAATGGTGAGGTACAGAGACTGGTAGAATGGTGAGGTACAGAGACTGGTAGAATGGTGAGGTACAGAGACTGGTAGAATGCTGAGGTACAGAGACTGGTAAGAAAGGAAAGGTTACCAAACAGAAATAATGTAAGAAGAGTTGGGTATATGGTGAATAAAAGAGATGTGGAAAAAGACACTTATGTACAGTTCAGGACATTTATTAAAGGAAACGTTTCGCCACGAGTGGCTTCTTCAGTCCTAGTACAGAGAAAACTAAGAAAACATTTATATATATAGTGGCAGGAGTCAGGTGAGGTGACGCGTGGGTAGAGGTCGTAGTAGTAGTAGTAGTAGTAGTAGTAGTAGTAGTAGTAGTAGTAGTAGTAATGGAACTAAGGAGGTGAGGCAAGAGAGGGACCTGCTGGCATCAAGTAACACCAGTTCCCAGGATGGGTAATATCCTCTTGCTTAGTAATTTTGAAATACTGTAACTACCGGATTTTTGCTTTATAGTGTTACTGACAGAAATTAGTGCAGCTTCAATGCATTTTCTCCGTCTTAAGTCGTCTTCTTTAATAACTAGTTTAGCTTCATTGAATCTCATGAGGTGTCCGACATCGTCTCTATGTTGAACACATGCGTTTTTGCGGTCATCATTTCTGCAAGCATTTTTGTGTTCTGCTATTCTAATGTCCAGAGTTCTGGCTGTTTCCCTACATATACTTTGTCACACCCCCCACATGGTATAGTGTAGATTCCTGCACTTGTGCCAGAATCATGCTTGGGTTTTTGTATCAGGTTCCTAATAGTAGTTGAAGAGCTAGTAGATATTTTAGCCAGTTTTCTGTCAAACATTTTTGAAACATAGTGGCAACGTTGCTGACCGGTAAAACGATGTAACTTGGAGGCTTTTCTTCAATTTGATAGGTGTTGGTCTTGCTGAGGATACGTGTCGCACGTTTCCTGCAGTCACGTATGAAGTGTAGGGGAAAGTGTAGTGAACTAAAAGAGTTGGTGATGTATGTACATTCTTGTTAGGTAAGACACATGCAACAGTTAGACAACTTTATTCCGAAACGTTTCGCCTACACAGTAGGCTTCTTCAGTCGAATACAGAAAGTAGGCAGGAACAGTAGAGATGTGAAGACGATGTAATCAGTCCATCACCCTTAAAGTAGTAGAATTTGAGGTTGTCAGTCCCTCGGCCTGGAGAAGTTCAGTTCCATAGTCAGGAACTATCTGATAGTTCCTGACTATGGAACTGAACTTCTCCAGGCCGAGGGACTGACAACCTCAAATTCTACTACTTTAAGGGTGATGGACTGATTACATCGTCTTCACATCTCTACTGTTCCTGCCTACTTTCTGTATTCGACTGAAGAAGCCTACTGTGTAGGCGAAACGTTTCGGAATAAAGTTGTCTAACTGTTGCATATGTGTCTTACCTAACAACCTGTCGGTATTGTATACCATTTTGATGTTCATGTACATTCTTCTTCGAGGAACTGTGGACTGGAAATTCTGTAGGCTCTCGGAAAGAAGCCAATAACTACCCCTCTTTTAGTTCTTGTGTCATGGTGAGAGAAGAAATGTAGAAGATCGTTCTTGTAGGTAGGTTTACGGTAGACTTTAAAAGAAAGTTTATTTTCCCCTGTGCATAAGAGAACGTCGAGAAAAGGTAATTGGTTGTCCTTCTCCTCCTCTAGTGAGCCTTGTCGAACTTTGTGTTATAACTGTTTTAGGTTTGAGGACAAGAAGTACAAACAACTCTTCGGACTAGCCATGGGATCCCCCCTTAGTGCAGTTCTTGCCAATTTATATATGGAGGACCTGGAATCAAGAAGGATCCTCAGTAACATCCCTCGCTCAGTTACATGGATGCGGTACGTAGATGATGTTTTGGCCATTGTACCCAAAAATCTTGGCGTACGGGGCATCCTCAACACCATCAACACTCTGGAACCTACTATTAAATTTACACTAGAGGAGGAGAAGGACAACCAGTTACCTTTCCTCTACGTTCTCTTATGCACAGGGGAAAATAAACTTTCTTTTGTAATAAAGTTGGTAGAATTACCGACAATATGTAAAGTAAAAGGACACAAGTGCAACTAATGTGACATTTTATTGTGGCAACGTTTCGCTCTCCAGGAGCTTTATCAAGCCATTACAAACAATACATGTATGTATAATGTTCGCCAAGACCATAGTCCTGGCACGGGTCCCAATCTTGCGATGACCCGTCTCTGGCTCCCGATGGAGAAAGGTTTCCACAATGATGCGACGCATGCCGCTCAAGCGCCCCTCTGGTCAGTTCAACTGGTGCATCTCATAAGCGACACCATATGTAACTATGGACACTAGCGAGGAGGAGATGTCATTATCACAGGTAACAGCTTGTCTGGTTCGTTGACCCCATGGTACACTAGTGTGGCCGCAGTCATCTCTGGGTCCTCTTCGGGAGGGAATATCACCCCTAGTTGCCTGCGGAGTGTCTCAGTAACTTCGCACTCCAGAAGATAGTGTGTTAGGGGCCGCTGGACAACGTGCTGACAGTACTGGCACATCTCCTCAGCCTTGTCTACCATCATCTTGGCTGTGGGAAAGCCCAAACGAAGCCGATGGATGGCGGTACACTGCGCTCTGGAACAAACAATACATGGACACAGAGGGTATATATAGGCTCAGAGTGAGGTGCAATACTAGTGAGGTACCATTTCGATGTTCACTAGTGGGGGTCGTAGTAGTAATAGTAGTAGTAGTGACAAAAGTAATACAATATGGTAGAGCAATTAATTCGTACATGAGAATTAATTGCTCTACCATATTGTATTACTTTTGTCACTACCACTACTACTACCACCACTAGTGAACATCGAAATGGTACCTCACTAGTATTGCACCTCACTCTGAGCCTATATATACCCTCTGTGTCCATGTATTGTTTGTAATGGCTTGATAAAGCTCCTGGAGAGCGAAACGTTGCCACAATAAAATGTCACATTAGTTGCACTTGTGTCCTTTTACTTTACAAACTTTCTTTTAAAGTCTGCCGGAAGCCTACCTACAAGAACGATCTTCTACATTTCTTCTCTCACCATGACACAAGAACTAAAAGAGGGGTAGTTATTGGCTTCTTTCTGAGAGCCTACAGAATTTCCAGTCCACAGTTCCTCGAAGAAGAATGTACATACATCACCAACTCTTTTAGTTCACTGCACTTTCCCCTACACTTCATACGTGACTGTAGGAAACGTGCGGCACGTATCCTCAGCAAGACCAACACCTATCAAATTGAAGAAAAGCCTCCAAGTTACATCGTTTTACCGGTCAGCAACGTTGCCACTAATGTTTCAAAAATGTTTGACAGAAAACTGGCTAAAATATCTACCAGCTCTTCAACTACTATTAGGAACCTGATACAAAAACCCAAGCATGATTCTGGCACAAGTGCAGGAATCTACACTATACCATGTGGGGGGTGTGACAAAGTATATGTAGGGGAAACAGCCAAAACTCTGGACATTAGAATAGCAGAACACAAAATGCTTGCAGAAATGATGACCGCAAAAACGCATGTGTTCAACATAGAGACGATGTCGGACACCTCATGAAATTCAATGAAGCTAAACTAGTTATTAAAGAAGACGACTTAAGACGGAGAAAATGCATTGAAGCTGCACTAATTTCTGTCAGTAACACTATAAAGCAAAAATCCGGTAGTTACAGTATTTCAAAATTACTAAGCAAGAGGATATTACCCATCCTGGGAACTGGTGTTACTTGATGCCAGCAGGTCCCTCTCTAGCCTCACCTCCTTGGTTCCATTACTACTACTACTACTACTACTACTACTACCACTACTACCACCACCTCTACCCACGCGTCACCTCACCTGACTCCTGCCACTATATATATAAATGTTTTCTTAGTTTTCTCTGTATTAGGACTGAAGAAGCCACTCGTGGCGAAACGTTTCCTTTAATAAATGTCCTGAACTGTACATAAGTGTCTTTTTCCACATCAACAACTCTGTTAGAAAACCAGTACTTACCTATGTCGTTTCTAAATCTAAATTTATCCAACTTATATCCATTATTTCTTGTTCTAACCTGGTTCGACACCCTCAGTACTTTATTAATGTCTCCCTTGTTTATGCCCGTCATCCACTTATACACTTCAATGATATCTCCCCTCATTCTACGCCTCTCCAGAGAGTGGAGATTTAAGGCTTTAAGTCTATCTTCATACGGGAGGTTCCTTACACAGTAAATCATTTTAGTCATTCTTCTCTGTATGTTCTCTAATGAGTCTATGTCCATCCTGTAGTAAGGGGACCAAAACTGAGCAGCATAATCTAAATGAGGCCTCACTAGTGATGTATAGAGCTGTAAAATAACTTTTGGACTTCTGTTACTTATACTTCTTGAGATAAATCCAAGTAATCTGTTGGCCTTGTTGCGCACACTAAGGCACTGCTGTCTTGGCTTTAGATTTCTGCTTACCAAGTCTTTTTCACATTCTGTATGACCAAGCTCTACTTCACCTAGATTATAGCTTCGAGGGTTATTTTCATACATCTTCAGAACTTACAAGAGAAGTTCTCTGAGAACAGATGGAATATATTGTAGAATCAATAGAAATGAGATGTGTGTTGTCTGTCTCGTGATTAACGAACGAAGCAATAGAAATGAGATGTGTGTTGACTGTCTCGTGATTAACGAACGAAGGATTACGTTTACAAAACTCGCTGCGCTGTATAACCCTTGTGGTTTAGCGCTTCTTTTTTATTATAATCCAAAACTCCTTGAATAACCCTCACGGTTTCGCAAATAATTGTTACAAATAATCCTGCGCCCTGAAGCACTACTCACAGGTAGACGATGCTGTCGTGGATTTGGATTGGCTGCTCCTGCAGCGTTACCCCTAAGTTGTTATCTGCGAACATTCTGTGGGAAGAGAACATAAGAACATTAGAACAGTAGATGAATGGTTCAGAGAACCGACATGTTGATAAATTAGACACATGTGCAACTCTTGGGTATCTTTATTGAGGAAACGTTTCGCTACACAGTGGCTTCATCAGTCCATACGTAGGAGAAACTTGAAGAACAGGAGGAGAATGAGGTAATCAGTCCCTCAACCTTGAGTCGATGTGTTCAGTCCATCAATCTTGAATAGAATACGGCATATGAGCGGAGAAGGAGCTTATAAACCGTATGGCAGGAGAGGTGCAGCAGTCATAGGTCGTGTCACATTTGTTCAATGTGGAAGTAGGTCGTGCCCAAGCGAAGGATTCCCAAGTATTAAGATCCCAAGAAGTTGCAGTGTCTGACAGGTTTGTAGATGAATGGTTCAGAGAACCGACATGTTGATAAATTCTTCGCTTGCCTAACCCTTGGGCACGACCTACTTCCACATTGAACAAACGTGACACCACCTATGACTGCTGCACCTCTCCTGCCATACGGTTTATAAGCTGCTTCTCCGCTCATATGCCGTATTCTATTCAAAATTGATGGACTGAACACGTCGACTCAAGGTTGAGGGACTGATTACCTCATTCTCCTCCTGTTCTTCAAGTTTCTCCTACGTATGGACTGATGAAGCCACTGTGTGGCGAAACGTTTCCTCAATAAAGATACCCAAGAGTTGCACATGTGTCTAATTTATCAACATTAGAGCATAAGAATATAGAGTAATAATACTTAGAGCCTTGAATATCCACTCTCTTGAGAGACGTAGAATGAGGGGTGATTTGTACTTAGCTCAGTGGTGATTTGTACTTAGCTCAGTGGTGATTTGTACTTAGCTCAGTGGTGATTTGTACTTAGCTCAGTGGTGATTTGTACTTAGCTCAGTGGTGATTTGTACTTAGCTCAGTGATGATTTGTACTTAGCTAAGTGGCGATTTGTACTTAGCTATGTGGTGATTTGTACTTAGGTCAGTGGTGATTTGTACTTAGCTCAGTGGTGATTTGAACTTAGCTCAGTGGTGATTTGTAGTTAGCTAAGTGGTGATTTGTACTTAGCTATGTGGTGATTTGTACTTAGCTCAGTGGTGATTTGAACTTAGCTCAGTGGTGATTTGTACTTAGCTCAGTGGTGATTTGTACTTAGCTCAGTGGTGATTTGTACTTAGCTCAGTGGTGATTTGTACTTAGCTCAGTGGTGATTTGTACTTAGCTCAGTGGTGATTTGTACTTAGCTCAGTGGTGATTTGTACTTAGCTCAGTGGTGATTTGTACTTAGCTCAGTGGTGATTTGTACTTAGCTCAGTGGTGATTTGTACTTAGCTAAGTGGCGATTTGTACTTAGCTATGTGGTGATTTGTACTTAGGTCAGTGGTGATTTGTACTTAGCTCAGTGTGGTGATTTGTACTTAGCTCAGTGGTGATTTGTACTTAGCTAAGTGGTGATTTGTACTTAGCTATGTGGTGATTTGTACTTAGCTCAGTGGTGATTTGAACTTAGCTCAGTGGTGATTTGTACTTAGCTATGTGGTGATTTGTACTTAGCTATGTGGTGATTTGTACTTAGCTCAGTGGTGATTTGTACTTAGCTATGTGGTGATTTGTACTTAGCTCAGTGGTGATTTGTACATAGCTATGTGGTGATTTGTACTTAGCTCAGTGGTGATTTGTACTTAGCTATGTGGTGATTTGTACTTAGCTCAGTGGTGATTTGTACTTAGCTATGTGGTGATTTGTACTTAGCTCAGTGGTGATTTGTACTTAGCTCAGTGGTGATTTGTACTTAGCTCAGTGGTGATTTGTACTTAGCTATGTGGTGATTTGTACTTAGCTCAGTGGTGATTTGTACTTAGCTCAGTGGTGATTTGTACTTAGCTAAGTGGTGATTTGTACTTAGCTCAGTGGTGATTTGTACTTAGCTCAGTGGTGATTTGGACTTAGCTCAGTGGTGATTTGTACTTAGCTATGTGGTGATTTGTACTTAGCTATGTGGTGATTTGTACTTTGCTCAGTGGTGATTTGTACTTAGCTCAGTGGTGATTTGTACTTAGCTCAGTGGTGATTTGTACTTAGCTCATTGGTGATTTATACTTAGCGATGTGGTGATTTGTCCTTAGCTCAGTGGTGATTTGTACTTAGCTATGTGGTGATTTATACTTAGCTCAGTGGTGATTTGTACTTAGCTATGTGTTGATTTGTACTTAGCTATGTGGTGATTTGTACTTAGCTCAGTGGTGATTTGTACTTAGCTATGTGGTGATTTGTACTTAGCTCAGTGGTGATTTGTACTTAGCTATGTGGTAATTTGTACTTAGCTATGTGGTGATTTGTACTTAGCTCAGTGGTGATTTGTACTTAGCTCAGTGGTGATTTGTACTTAGCTCAGTGGTGATTTGTACTTAGCTCAGTGGTGATTTGTACTTAGCTATGTGGTGATTTGTACTTAGCTCAGTGGTGATTTGTACTTAGCTATGTGGTGATTTGTACTTAGCTCAGTGGTGATTTGTACTTAGCTCAGTGGTGATTTGTACTTAGCTCAGTGGTGATTTGTACTTAGCTCAGTGGTGATTTGTACTTAGCTCAGTGGTGATTTGTACTTAGCTCGGTGGTGATTTGTACTTAGCTATGTGGTGATTTGTTCTTAGCTCAGTGGTGATTTGTACTTATCTATGTGGTGATTTGTACTTAGCTCAGTGGTGATTTGTACTTAGCTATGTAGTGATTTGTACTTAGCTATGTGGTGATTTGTACTTAGCTCAGTGGTGATTTGTACTTAGCTCAGTGGTGATTTGTACTTAGCTAAGTGGTGATTTGTACTTAGCTCATTGGTGATTTGTACTTAGCTATGTGGTGATTTGTACTTAGCTATGTGGTGATTTGTACTTAGCTACGTGGTGATTTGTACGTAGCTATGTGGTGATTTGTACTTAGCTATGTGGTTATTTGTACTTAGCTCAGTGGTGATTTGTACTTAGCTATGTGGTGATTTGTATTTAGCTCAGTGGTGATTTGTACTTAGCTATGTGGTGATTTGTACTTAGCTCAGTGGTAATTTGTACTTAGCTATGTGGTGATTTGTACTTAGCTATGTGGTTATTTGTACTTAGCTCAGTGGTGATTTGTACTTAGCTCAGTGGTGATTTGTACTTAGCTCAGTGGTGATTTGCACTTAGCTAAGTCGTGATTTGTACTTAGCTCAGTCGTGACTTGTACTTTGCTCAGTGGTGAATTGTACTTAGCTCAGTGGTGATTTGTACTTAGCTCAGTGGTGATTTTTACTTAGCTCAGGGGTGATTTGTACTTAGCTCAGTGGTGACTTGTACTTAGCTCAGTGGTGATTTGTACTTAGCTCAGTCGTGATTTGTACTTAGCTCAGTCATGATTTGTACTTAGCTCAGTGGAGATTTGTACTTAGCTCAGTGGTGATTTGTACTTAGCTCAGTCGTGATTTGTACTTAGCTCATTCGTGATTTGTACTTAGCTCAGTCGTGATTTGTACTTAGCTCAGTCGTGGTTTGTACTTAGCTCAGTGGTGATTTGTACTTAGCTCAGTGGTGATTTGTACTTAGCTCAGTGGTGATTTGTACTTAGCTCAGTGGTGATTTGTACTTAGCTCAGTCGTGATTTGTACTTAGCTCATTCGTGATTTGTACTTAGCTCAGTCGTGATTTGTACTTAGCTCAGTGGTGATTTGTACTTAGCTCAGTGGTGATTTGTACTTAGCTCAGTGGTGATTTGTACTTAGCTCAGTGGTGATTTGTACTTAGCTCAGTGGTGATTTGTACTTAGCTCAGTGGTGATTTGTACTTAGCTCAGTCGTGATTTGTACTTAGCTTTGTCAAGATGTGATTAGTGTGCTCTTTGTTCTTAGCTACCTGAGATTGTGATGATGGCTTTCCTCGACTATAAGCAACTATAAGTAACTCTAAGCAACTATAAGCAGCTATATCTCCAGCTTAAGGCAGGATTAACGGAAGCTAGAAGAGAAAGTCAACAACTCAAGGGAATGTGTATGGATTTTCCCTGGAACAATGTCGTTGATGATCGGACCAACGAATGGATGCTACACAAATAACGTCGTCGTAAGCTTCTCTCTTTTATGTGCGGGTTATTTGTGTATCGTTCCAGTCACGGTATTGTGCCTTTTTGTTATTTATTAATGGATGCTAGTCTGGACGAAGCTGAAGATGAAGAAAGTCCTGGAAACTGCTGTGAGAACGAGTAACTCTTTTTCCTTGTTATCAGACGAATGGAATCGGCCATCCATGATCTTCCAGAGAAGATCATGGATGGCCAGTTGTTAACGACACAGTGAAGCCAACCAGCGAAGACCATCTCTTCTAAGACCTCTTCACTGGTCGCTACTGGATTCACTCTCCCTCCCTGCTCCATGAGCTTCATGATACCGCTTCTTAAAGCTATGTATGGATTCTGCCTCCACTACATCCACTTCCCGACAACTCTGTGACCGAAGAAATACTTCCTAACATCCCTGTGACTCACTAAAGTTTTCATCTTCCTGTTGTGACCCCTTGTTTTTGTGTCACATCTCCGAAACATTCTATCCTTATCCACCCTGTTAGTTTCTCTTAGTATTTTATATGTTATCATGTGACCCCTATCACTCCTGTCTTCCAGTGTTGTCATGTTGAGTTCCTTCAACCTCTCCTCGTTGGACACACCCCTTACCTCAGGGATTAGTCTTGTTGCAATCCTTTGTACTTTCTCTAATTTCTTGACGTGTTTAACTACGGGGGAGGGGGATGTCCATATTGGTGCTGCATACTTCAATATGAGTCTGATGTACACGGTGTACAGTGTTGTGAATGACTCCTTATTAAGATGTCAAAACGCTGTTCTCAGGTTTGCCTGGCGCCCACATGCTGCAGCAGTTATTTGGTTGATTTGCGCCTCAGATGTGGTCGATATGATGGACATCCCAAGATCATTTTCCTAGTGAGTTTTACAGCCCCTGA